ATCCCACACACACACACACACAATGCAGCCCCTTGCACACATACACAGAAGCACATAATGCATCCCTTACACACACACACACACACACACACACACACACACACACAATGCAGCCCTTGCACACATACACAGAAGCACGTGATGCATACCTTACACAGACTGCTTTCTTTAATGCATCTCTTACATACACTCAATACAGGCACACACACTGCATTACATTAATTACATAGAAACAAACCTTGCATCCCTCACACATGCAAACACGGATTCACAAAATGCATCCCTTACACACCCAGAAACACACAATGCATTCTTTACAAACACAGACAAACACATAATACATTCTTTACACACAAGCACACAGTGCATCCCCTATACAAACTCAGTACATCCCTTACACAAACTGGTGTCCCGATACATTACATTACATAAGAACACACAAATAACATCCTCTAAAATAACACATAACACATCCCCTACACACATCCACTCCACTCCCTGGGAGCGAACCCATGGCTTGTAGGCATCAGGCTTATGGGCGGGCCTTGTAGGCATATGCACAGTCATGCCATGGGGACCCAGATATTGAGCTGTGTAAGGGACCCCAAAAAATGGAGCTGCTTGCCTGTTCGTTGTTTTTGTGAGCACTGCCTACAGAGAGCTTGTTTTAACACCAGACCAGTGGAGCCAGACTGCAGCCTGAACCCATCATCATCCTCTTGTCCTCATCGGGTGGTAAGTAGGCAATCCAGTATATTATTAATGGCACTAATCTCTAATTTACCTCACATTAAAGGGACACTATAGTCACTCTGACTACAGCTTAATGTCGTGGTTCTGTGTTGTGTGACAAGCGAACCTCTAGCAAGTTCAGAGGAATTTCGGAGCTAACAGGGACTGTGCATTTTGCTTCAGGAATCTGTTAAAGGCTGTATTTTGAATTATTATTATTTTATTATTTGTATAGCGCCAGCAAATTCCATAGCGCTGTAAAATGGGAATTGTAAATAAACAATGTGTGACGAAAGCAACTTCGCCACTGTTTCTTGGAGGGACCTGTTTACCAGCCTCCTACCCTGGGACTATGGGCCCTGTGATAGCCCATGTTCAAAAGTACTGTTTCTGCCCCTTGGACTTTTAACTGGAACAGATTCAAACATGTGGCGGCGGCGGCCATCTTAAATTGTCCAGCAGTGTTTTATCATCGAGTGTATGGAACTGTTTTGGGCATGGGACCATGTGCACGGTGGGGCAAAAATAAGACTTCCAGGAAATTCCTGAACCCCTGAACCGATCTGGGTGATTTATGGATATGTTGGACCCCCAGTTCGGGGCTATCAGGGGATATATTGGAATATGTTGTGTTTTGGGGTACGTTTTGGGGTTTGTAAAAATATGTTTTTTCTGCTTAGAGTTAATTGAGTTAGTCCATTGTCTTCGGTAATTATATAACAGGCAGAGGGGAGGGATTGTGTACACTGTATGGGAGTGACTGAATGTAAAACTCAGTTTTTATTGGTTTATGTTCCTTTTGTCCCTGTTTTCCATCAGGTCCAGGGGGTGTGCCTCTGGCCGCAAAAACTGTATATATTCCAGGCTGTGGCAATAAACCTTCAGTTCTACTTCACCCTCAATCTAGAGTCCTGTCTCTTATTGGGGGAATTGCTATATCACTACAAGGGATTGCTATGCTCTTCATACTCCCTTGAATAATCACTAAGATCTTGTAAGAGCTTTTTCCTGTTCCTGCTTCACTCTCTGGGGAAAGAGAGATTCATCCACTGGAACCTGGAGCCTTGTCGTAGGTCCAGGGTGGGTAGGAGATGACGAGATCCCAACCAAGCTGCGGCGGTTCGTGCGGTCTGCAGTGCTTATGGTGTCAAGTGGAGTGCTTGGCGCCCTCGGGAAGCACTAGGAGCATTCATCAATGGAGGTACCCAGTCGGGACGCCAGGTGATCCGTTACACAATTAAATAAACTCTTTCACCGTAAATGGTAATTTATACAATGCTGAGAGTGATATGATTTGCCATTTACCATTGTGACATGCTAAAAGAACTAAACTGGCTGTCGCTCAAATCCAGATCCACCCTTCATCTTTCCAGCCTTGTGTTTAAGAGCTTTTCTGGGAAACTCCCACCCTACCTGAACACAATGCTTTCCCCAGCTATTCCCACTTCCTATTAGCTCCGATCCAGTACCAACACTTTACTTAGTCTACCTCAATACAAAAAGAAAGCGGCCCGATCCTCCTTCTCCTACAGAGCGCCGCAATTGTGGAACGACCTCACGCACAATTTCAAATCTTCCCTAAGCCTAAAGTCCTTTAAGAGATCCCTCTCTACATACCTCAAAACAGAATGCACCTGTCATGGTTAATTATATATCCCTTACCTGTTCTATGTTAAATTTTGTATTTATTGTGTATTAATATTGTTTTTGTATTTTA